CTGCAATAGGTAAGTCTCAGTAGTAAGACGACAGTTGTTACCCGATGTTCAAGTATCGTAAGTAAGGAAATAACGCAACGAAGTAACAAACAAAAACCGGGAAATTGCATGTACGTAAAAAGGAGTGAGACTGGATGCGTCGACAGAGTAAGCATTACCCGTCATGTGAATTCAAGCTCTCTCAAATGTCACAATTTGGAATTGGATGCCATCGGTAAAATTATAGATCAGACGTATCCAAAGATGTAAGACCGCGAAAACATGTCGCTAGTGTTTGAGACATCGACATATCGTATCGGTGAACCAATTCGTAACGATGACCGTAAAACTTTTTTAGTTTCGATTTTAATCGTTCTTTCTCATAATTCGATGAGATCAGTTTATGTGAATGGAGCACGCTTCTGTTAATAAATGCCGAATACAGATGGTTACAGTCCCAACCTGTACAAAAGTGAAATTTGAGTAGACAGTTTGGCTGATTTCCAAGTTAACTTAAGACATTTTAAGTAATCAAGCAAGTTAACTTCATTGGTGGAAGACTAGACCTATGTCTGCTTTTTAATGACTGCTGGAGTACCTAGCAAAGGTCAGCTCCTGACCAGACTAAAGGTCATGTCAGCTTTTGACACGGTTTGTTGTGTTTTACACTTTCCTAATATAAGTCGCCCCCCCCCCCCCCCCCTAAAAAAAAACAAAACAAACTTACGAGTGAGATTGATCGTAAGTCATGAACAATTCAGTTTATATTCTAATTCGCCAAGCTCAAACGAATATAAAATTATTTAATAAATAAAACAACACATAAATACGATAGGTGTGCCTACAGGTGTAGCAGCCTTTAATATAATATTAATTACATTTAATTTTAAAACTATAAAGTCCTTCACTAAAAATTCAGACAAGCACTACCAATCCAATCATATAATAGCATATATAATAAAAATCTATCTACAAAAAAGGAAAAAATACATATTAATATAATTTAATATATGTATATATCCACATTAACAATAATCAACTCAAAAGGGTGGGTGGGTGGGTAAACATAATAACGAAATGCTGCTACGTAAACTATAGGCAAACTTCAAATAACTCTGATTTCTCAAACAAACCCCTTAAGGGTGTATTCTTCTGACGTTTCAGTCTCGTTGAAATATCGTTCATCATGTGATACAAGTGGTAAATATCAATGAATTTACAAAATATTATAATCAAACTTAATTCTGTGAAAAAATTGTGTATGTACAATAAGTAGTTTTTGAGTAATAAAATTTTCAAATTATATAACCAATCTAGTTGTTCTCATTAGCAATGATTAGCCAAAATGTTGAGAAAATGGGTGAGGGATACAAGAATTGACTTTAACAGATACATGTACATCCCATAACATTTTTTTCTTTTCAAATTTCTTAGATATGCATTTTTTCAATCATTTATAACAAAGAAGTTGAAATAATACGCTTTTTGTTCTAAAAAAAGGAAAAATCCCAAATTTACAAAATTGACAACATGGTAAATTTGGCACAAAAAAGCAACAAAATTTTATAAAACGTTCTTATATTTACACCTAACAATATTTTTTTTTAAAGTTAAATTTATTCAGATTGGTCCACTTCATCTTTAGTGAAAGTACGAAAAAAAGTTTAATTGTGAAAAAATGGGTAAAAATTAAAAAAAATGGGAAAATCATGAAAATTGGGTACTTTCAAATGGCTGTAGCTTAAAAAAAATGCACAACCATATGATTCTTTCTTCACCAATTATTTTTTTATAGTCATATAAACCCAAAAGTCAGGTTAAGAAAAAAAGTTTTATTCTAGAAATGTTTGGCTCCTCAGAGGTGTACATCCTTAAGTAATATTTAACCATGGTTTTCACGAATCTCATGAGCTGCATATGCCCGTAAAAGCCACATTGCTGGTATATGTCATCCAATCATAACTAGCATAAACACAAACCATGGGTACATGTATATAACACGTGTTTATAGTAAACAATAACTTCAATAAATATATTTATATTATAATTCGCCAAGTTCAAACGAATATAAATTATTTGATAAATAAAACAACACATAAATAGGATAAGTGTGCCTACAGGTGATCTGAACAAAAACGATAATTATAAAGATTATGTTCCCAAACTTTTAAATAATTTCATTTTTTCTTTAATATTTTCTCTTACATAGCCGTCTTTAGCTTTATCTGAAGCCCATCTAATATGCTTCTTAAATTATCTAACACGAATTCCAACTGTTGCAGCTGCAGTAGCTCCACCTGATATCAGGCCATGTTATCTAAATATAGACTTATCTAAACCTATTGATTCCAGAGCTGATAATATAATTTCTCTAACTCTAACATATGACAAAGGTTTAAGACCTCTCAATCTATAAGATCTAGATTTTTTACATAAATACTTGGACTTAAATATATAATCTGAAGATAATACATTTTTATTAGATAATAATAAATATTTCTCCAACATACTAACATGGCATGTTTGTATATTAGTTCTAGCAATTAAAACTTGCGTGCCTTCTCTATAGTGATCAGTTTTGCTTTTTTTGTATGATTTCATTCTCCATGTAAAGTCTTCTACTACATTTATATCATATACATTACATTAGTTTTTCATTCAAAAAGATAGTTTGTTTGCCATGGATTTACGATTGTATTATCGACAACATGTCCAAACGAAAGCTTTATACTGCCGGGAAATATAAGGTGTTGTATAATTTTCAGAAGAACTTTTGAACCTTCTCATCAATTTTGGCAGAGTGGTTACTACCGAAGTATCGCTATATACGTTTCATTATAAATTTTCAATATGGTGAGTTTTGGATGATACAAACAAATATTTGTGTTCTAGTAACCATCATGAGATTAGAAAAACTACTAAGTTTTTAGTGACGGATCAGTATTTTGAATAAAAAGATTAAATGCTTGCACCCACAATTGAATGGACAAAATTATGTAATCACGTTGTAATAACAATGCTGCCATTTGGTTTATACAGTCCATCCCGAGTAGAAAAAAAAAACATATTTATATGATACCACTATATCTTTTTTTATGATAAAGTACAAATAATTTGGTCATTTTTGGTTGAAGCTGTCATCTATTTTGTTATAAAAACCATCCATATATAGGAAAACAACTGATTTTTAGTGAATGATCAGTATATTGAAAATTAAAAGAGGAAAGGGTTATACTCTGAATTGATGTTGACAAAATGTTTAACTCATTGTGTACCAATGCTGCTGTCATTTGTATTATCCAATCCATCTCGAGTTCACAAAAATTTATTTTACAGCCTTTTTATTTTTACATAACAAGTACCAATATGGTTAGTGATGGATAATGCGGAAAAACATATTTATCATACTAAGAATCATGAGATATGAAAAAAAACTGATTTTTGGTGACGAATATTTTGAAAATAAAAAAGGAAATTCTTAAGTGATGCAAACAAACGTTTGTTGTTATAGTGTACTAATATTTATATCATTACAACCCATAATGAGTAAAAAAAAAAAATCTATCTATTGAAACCGCTATAAATTGTTTCATAATAAAGTACTAATATGGTCAGTTTTGGTTAATGCGAGAAAATATTTTTGTTATGCTAACCATCATTGGATATAAAAAACTATTGATTTTTGGTGACTGCTAAGTATTTTGAATTAAAAAATAGAAAATGTTGGCACACTGAATTGAATATGACAAAACTGAGATATTTCAAATATTTAACTGGGTCTCGATTTGCTAAAAGGTAGATGAAGGAGATACTTTTATTCCAACCAGAGTGGTATGCGTACTGTATTTATTTAAACGAAACTGAATATATCAAGAAACAAATACATTTTAAAAATATTTCATCAATCGATGTAAAGCGGTCCTGGTCACAAGTTAACTTAGAATTGAACAGATCAATCAAAAAGTCAGCTTTAGAACATGTTGGTTCAATCGCAGTTGTCAAGGGCGAAATTAGCTATATTGCAGGACTAGTATCGAAGTTTACCTTAGTAGTTAACTTTTTTCGTCTTTAGTTAACTCTTCGGCAGTCCTAAACACAGTACTAGAAGTAATTCTGTTTTTTGGGTCAACTTGATTTTGGATTTGGGACAAGTCGAAGCAGTCCTGAAAACTGTTCGAGGAGAACTGTGAACGGTCAAAATGACTGGTTTTCATGTAAACTTGCTGCACGGGTAATGATTACACCCATCTGTAGTATGAACATGCATGAGCGCAACGTATTTATTAAGATACGTAAACACGATACGATGGAGCTGAGGTTATATCACTGCTGAGAAATGAGAAGTTGAAATCAGTACGTTTGTCATATATTCTAGTGTTAAGTCGTCCATTTGTGTAAATATCGAGAAATAGGTATGAAGGATACTTGCTACTTCCGGTAGTATCCATAATCTCAAGTTTATTTAATTCTGCATCATACTGTACACAAACAAGTCAGCTAGTGGTGGTGCATAATTAAAAATCATTGGAATATCGCCTGTCTGCAGAAATATCAAACCACCAAACTCAACAAATGTGTTGTCGATCAAAACGTCCAGCATTTTGAAGAATTCACCTTCGGTGTATTTGTTTTAAGAATCAGTGTGCCTCAAAAAGTTAGATTTTCCATGACCTAAAATAAAGAATTTGCTTTTTAAGCCCTTCTTAAAGAGACGACATAGACGAGCTTTCGATTGAGCATGTGAAAGGCGTAGACAAATATAAGATTTTGATATTAGTTCACAAATTGTAAAGATTGTGAGTGCAGATTTTGAAGTAGTAAACTATTTACCAAATCAAAGAAAAATGATTCCGTGTTTTACAAAAAGCGATTTCCAAAAGTAAATCAAATCATTTAAATATAAAATAGATAATGGAAATTGAAAATTCAAAGAAAACTTAAATGATATAAAGTAATGAAACAATGGTATGTAGAATTGAATCCATTAGATGTCCAAATCAATATGAAAAACAACATTTCAGGTAGATATGAAGATAACATAGATGTTCCAAATTAATAATAATAGAGTGATACATCAAGTTCAACGGTATTGGTGCAGCTTATCAAGCCGATCTAGTGATGACTTTGCTACCAGACGGCGATGATGTCATTAATCGGCACACTATTACAGTTCAACCATAAGTTCTTTGTCAGAAAAAACGACAGAATTGAACAAAACAAAAAGGGGGAGAGGTAGGTGGTTTTATAGTAATTATGTAAACAAAAAGGGGAGAGATAGGTAGTTTTACAGTAATTATGTAAACAATAAACTCAACAATATGATTATGATTTAGATATATGTAGATACTTCCGTGCATATCGTGTATTCCGAAAATAAGGTACCGAAGCTGTCGAACTGTACATTAATGTAATTAAAATTAAAACGCGCATTAATTTGATCTTTGAATGAACTGTTACAAATCTTCCTCTGACTTTACTGTCAAGCCCCTTTATTTAAAACAAATTAGTAAACATGGTTTGTTTAACAATAAGTTAAAAAAAAAAATGACGAAATATATTAGTTATGAATTATAATGACAAAACAAAAGAAAAATAGCGTAACCGATTGTATTTCCTTTTAAAATGTGATTTAAGTAAAGGTATTTCCCGAGACAATTTTAATTCGTTTTTTATCTAACTATGAAAGAAAACGCAGTAAAAGTGCTTAGTTTGTTGAAAAAACAATTGAAGATATGTGCAAGGAAGCAGCAAATAAACTAGCTTCAATTGAGAAATCACAAAATTTTCATTGTAAACGATGACTACAGGTTGTTGTACATTTGTTGCCCGATGCACCTGAGACCCCCCGGTTTTTGGCATTATTCGTGTTGCTTAATCTTTAGTTTTCGATGTTGTGTGTTATGTACTATTGTTTTTCTTTTGACCTTTTTCTTTGTTTGCCATGGCGTTGTCAGTTTTTTTTTCGACTTATGAGTATGAATGTCCCTTTGGTATCTTTCGCCTTTCTTTGAAAGACAAATAAAGCGCACTAGCAATGTAAACTTTGTTATCTTGAATTCAAACATACTGACCAAATCTGATGTAGAAAAGATTCAGCTATCTTAATTACAGGTAATTCCAATTGCCTGTAAGAAGTGAAGTAAGTCTGAAATTTCAGAACACTTTTACAGCACTCGAGACAAACACGCTACAACGATACCACCGTGACAGAGTTTGTTTGTCTCATGAGTTTTGAGCTGTGTGGACAAAATTTAATGCCTCAGCAAGGAAATCTGTGCGCCAAAATATGCGTGTTATTTTGAAAGATGAATATTTGATATTCGCAAATAAACGAAAACAGAAAAATGTGATTATAAAGGTTTTACTACTATATTTCAGCCTTAGAAAATAATATTTTACATATCACCGTAATTAAAATTATCCCTTATTCTTAGTTGTATATGTTTTTACGCATATCATTGGTTGTTTTTTTACATGACTGTTTTTCCCGCTTATTGTAAAATTTGTAGTTTAATTGAGATAACCTTTTAACTGTGTACTTAAACGTATTGCGTAGTTGAAGTCCTTGCTCATCTTATGGTATGAATACACGTGTGCTACAATTCCCGAATTGTACTGTAAATGCAGAGCAGGAGCACGTGTAGTAAGAGTATGTGCGCACATTGCCTTTATACTCTTGTATCTAGGGTATATATAAAAACAACAGTAGTATACCGCTGTTCAATAGTCATGATTCGATTAAGCAAAAAAAAATCCGGGTAACAGACTAAAACCGGGGGAAACACATCAACTATAAGAGGAAAACAACGGAACAACAGAAACACTGAATTACAAAAATACTCGCAAAATGTATGGAAAAATTGTCCACCGACTTCTTTAAAATATGTATCCGAGTGACCGTTAGAAAACATGTAAACATGAAGATCAAAACACGAAACTGCAAAAATAGTTGACCTAATATAATTACATTAAGAGGTATGATTTATTTTTGTTCGAAATAAACAAAGGAAAAATAATTGTAACGCACAACAACTTACATTCAAAAGGAATGTTGAAGAGGAAAACATTTTTTTTCTTGATTTCGAGTAAAGTCTCCAAAAGACCTTGAACGATATTACCAAATTTGTAGAAAATTGATATGCGCTTTTATCAATAAACTAACACACAGCAACACGCACAATAAAACTCAGTTTGAAAGAAGTCCGAGTCCGATGTCAGAATAGGTAACAGAAGAACCTAAGCAAAATGACAATGATACATAAATTAACAAAGGACTACTAGCAGTTACTGACTTGCCAGCTCCAGACTTCAATTAAACTGATTGAAAGATTATGTCTTCATCATATGAAAATCAAGCACAATCCCTCCGGTTAGGGGTTTAGTTCATGCCATCATAAAATATATGAGAAGAACATAACCCGTATTATTGAAAATATTATTTGTTGCGTACAATAAATTGTTAACACATTCGAGAAACAACAATTGATTTATTTGGCAAAAAATGTTGAGAGACAAATATATAATATAGTTTTGTCACGCTATAAATGAATTACTTGCTTCAACAATCTACAATTCTTAACCCGTTTTATTATTGCTTATTCCAGGAAAGACCTTGAAATCGTCAGATATACTTGCAACATGTGTGCAAAAATTGTCCAACGACTTTTTAACAGATATTTCGGAGTGAGCGTTAGAAAAGTTGTAAGAATGAGGAACAGGTCAAGCAACTGTAAAAATAGTTTATATAATATAGTTGCATTGAGAGGTATGATTTGTTTTTAATAATGGATTAATAAATAATTAAGTGGTCACGCACAACTTACATGCAAAAGCAATGTCGAATAAGAAAAAAAAAAGACATTTTGTCTTGATTTCGAGTAAAGTTTAAAAAAAAATTGGAATAATATTACCAAATTTATAGAAGATTGACCAGCACTTTTATCACTAGGTTTTTCTAATGAGCATTAAAAATATTATTTGAAGTTGCAGAAAATAAACTGTAACAACATACGAGAAAATATAACAATATTCTTACGAATTGATCTATTTTATGCAAAAACACTTAATAAAAAAATATGTAATATAGTTTTGTTAGATTAAAAATTGATTGCTTATTTAACAATGTACAAATCTTGACTAGTTTTTTTTTATCAATAATTCCAGAAAATCGTCAAATATACTTACAAAATGTTTGGAAAAATTGTTCACCGACTTTTTTAACAGATATATCGTTAGTGATCGTTAGAAAAATGTTAAGATTAAAACACGAAACGGCAAAAAAAGTTTACCTAATATAATTGCATTGAGAGGTATGATTTATGTTTGTTCGAAAAAACATAGGAAAATTAACTGGTTACGCAGAACAACTAACATCCAAAAAAAAAAAAAAAAAGATCTTGAAACATATTACCACATTTTTAGAAAATTGACCAGCGTTTTTATCAACAGGTGTTTCTAATGAGCATTGAAAATATTTTTTGAAGTTGGAAACAATAAATTATGAAGACATTCAAAAACCAACAATTTATTTATTTTGCAAAAAAACCATAATAAAAAAAAAATAATATAGTTTTGTCACGTTAAAAATGTATATTGCTTGCTTAAACCATATACAATTCTTAACCAGTTTTTTATAATTAATTCCAAGAAAATCTTTGAAATCGTGAAATATACTCGCAGAATGTGTGCAAAAATTGTCCAGGGAGTTTTGTAATAGATATTTCCGAGTGACCTTTGGAAAAAGTGTAATCATGAACAACAAGTCACACATCTGTAAAAACAGATTATCTAATATAGTTGCATTTAGAGGTATGACATATTTTTGTTCGAAAAGACGAAGGAAAATTAAGTGGTCACGCACAACTTACATGGAAAAGCAATGTCGAATAAGAAAAAAAAACAATAGTATTCTTGATTTCGTGTTAAGTCTCCAAAAATATTTGAATGATATTATCAAATTTGTAGAACCTGACTGGCACTTTTATGAACAAATAACAGATATTTTTGGACCGTTGGAGAAAGTGAAAACAAGTCAAACAACTGTAAAAATAGTTTACCTAATATAGATGCATTGAGAGGTATGATTGATTTTGGTTGAAAAAAGAAAATTAAGTGGTCACGTAAAACAAATCACATACCAAACCAATATTAAATAAAAAAAAAGAAGTTTTTCTTGATTTTGAGTAAAGACTTCACAAACTTGCAAAATAAAACAGAATTTGTAGAAACTTGATCAGCACTTTTATCAATTTATCAGGTGTCTAATGAGCATTGAAAATATTATTTGTTGCAAACAATAAATTGTAAAGACATTCGAGAAACAACAATTGATTTTTTTTTGGCTAAAACTCTTAAGAGAAAAATATATAATATATGTTTGTCACGTTATAAATGGATTGGTCGCTTCAACAATTTACAATTCTTAACAAGTTTTATTATGGCTCATTCCAGGAAAAACCTTGAAATCGTCAAATATACTCGCAAAATGTGTGTAAAAATTGTCCATTTTAAAAACAAAGGAAAATTAAATGTCACGCACAACTTACATGCAAAAGCAATGTCAAATAAGAAAAAAAAAAAACAGTTTTTCTTACTTTCGAGTGAAGTCTGCAAAACATTTCGAATAATATTACCAAATTTGTAGAAGACTGATCTGCTTTTTTATCATCACGTTTTTCTAATGAGCATCAAAAATATAATTTGAAGTTGCAGACAATAAACTGTAAACACATACAAGAAAATATAACAATACTCTTACGGATTGATCTATTTTTGCAAAAATACTTAATAAAAAAATATATGTAATATAGTTTTGTTAGATTACAAATTTATCGCTTGCTTAAACAATGTACAATTTTTTACCAGTTTTTTTATTAATATTTCCAGGAAATTATTTAAATTGTCAAATCTACTCGCAAAATGTCTTGAAAAATTATCCAGCGACTTTTTTAACAGATATATCCGAGTGACCGTTAAAAAAGTTGTAACAATGAAGATCAAAACACGAAACGGCAAAAAAAGTTTACCTAATATAGTTGCATTGAGAGGTATGATTTATTTTTGGTTGAAATATCAAATGAAAGTTTAGAGCAACTTACATGCAAAAGCAATGTCGAGTAGGATAAAAAGACATTTGTTCTTGATTTCGAGTAAAGTTCCCAAAAAACCTTGAAACATATTACCAATTTTGTAGAAAATTTACCAGCGCTTTTATCAACAGGTCTTTCTAATGAGCATTAAAAATATTATTAGAAGTTGCAAAGAATAAATTGTAAAGACATTAGAGAAACAACAATTGATTTATTTTGCAAAATATATCAATAGAAAATATATAATATAGTTTTGTCACGTTATAAATGGATTGCTTGCTTCAACAAGTTACAATTCTTAACCAGTTTTTTTTATTATTATTTCCAAAAACAATATCAAAGTATTTCAGACGTTAAAAGAATTTTTTTTTTATTTCGAGTAAATCCTTCACAAACCTGGAAAATAATACAACATTTGTGAAAACTTGATCAGCGCTTTTATCAACAGGTTTTTCTAATAAGCATTAAAATGTTAACTTGAAGTTGCAGACAATTTATTGTAAAGACATTCGAGAAAAAATAACCACATACCTACCGGTTGATTTATGTTTCAAAAACGCTTAATGGAGAAATATATACAAAATTGTGTTACATTATAAAAAAGGATTGCTTGATTCATCCATATACAATTCTTTCCCAGTTTCTTATTTATTAATTCTAGGAAAGTCTTTGAAATCGTAAAATATATTTGCAAAATGTGTGCAAAAACAGTTTTTTCTTGATTTCGAGTAAAGTCTCCGACGAAAAATTTTGAATGATATTATCAAATTTGTAGAAACTTACCAACACTTTTATCAACAGGTTTTTCTATTGAGCATTAAAAAAATTATTTGAAGTTCAAGACAATAAACTGTTAACACGTACGAGAAAAAATTACTATATTCTTACGGATTTATCTGTTTTTGCAAACATCACTTAATCAAAAAATATATAATATAGTTGTGTTAGAATATAAACTATTTATTGCTTAAAGAATGTACAATTCATTACAAGTTTGTTTAAATAATTCCATGAAAATCTTTTAAATCGTCAAATCTACTAGCAAAAAGTGTGGATAAATTGTCAAGCGACTTTTTAAACAGATATATCCGAGTGACCGTTAGAAAAAGTGTTAACATGAATATCGAAACACGAAACTGCAAAAATAGTTTACCTAATATAATCGCACTGTGAAGTATGATTTATTTTTTTTCGAAAAAACAAAGGAAAATTAAGGGGTCACGCAGAACTTACATGCAAAAGCAATGTCTTTAAAACTTTAATTTAATTTACCTTATTTTCAAACATTTACATACTTCACAGCTACATGTGAGACCACAATCATAAAAAAAGATGAGTTGATAATATATTTCGATCAAACTGACTTCCGAGTAACGGGCGAACCACTGAATAAACATGTAATGTGAATTGAAATTTACATTATACGCGCTTCTTATACTATGTTCCTAATTTTGTCATTTTTTTAAAGGGAGACGGATTTATATAAGTTATTCTTGTTTCCGAATCCCAGAATTTATATTGTATAATTGTATTTTGTGCACTTTTGAAAATAAAATATTGTTTAGACTAAAAGCAATGTCGAATAACAAAAAAAAAAAAACCAAAATAAAAAAGTTTTTCTTGATTTCGTGTAAAGTCGCTGAAAATTTTGAATGATATTATCAAATTTATAGAAACTTACCAACACTTTTATCAACATGTTTTTCTAATGAGCATTACAAATACTATTTGAAGTTGCAGACAATAAACTGTAAACACGTACAATAAAATATAACAATATTCTTACGGATTGATATATTTTTGCAAAAAACACTAAATAAAAAAATATATAATATAGTTTTGTTAGATTATAAATTTATTTATTGCTTAAACAATGTAAATTCTTTACCAGTTTTTTATTAATAATTCCAGGAAAATCTTTTCAATCGTCAAATCTACTCGCAAAATGTATAAAAAAATTGTCAGGCGACTTTTGCGTATTAAATTTTAAAGCTGGTACCTTTTGTTAGCTATTATTCGTATGTTTCTCTGTGTCCTATATGTTCTCCCATTTATTTTTATTGTAGTCCTGTCATGTAATGTTGTCATTTTAATGTTATATTTAACATTGTCATAAAAGCGGGAGGTTTGGCTAGCCACAAAACCAGGTTCAACCCACCATTTATTTCTTAAAATGTCCTGTACCAAGTCCAGAAAATAGCCATTGTTATATTATAGTTTGTTTCTGTGTGTGTTGCATTGTCGTTTGTTGTTTGTTCACTTCAGTGTTTCTATTGTTTCGTTGTCCAAATGTACTCTATTGTATTGTCTATTTGCGTAATTCTCTGTCCGTAATGTTGTACTGTATTCATGTCATGTAATGGTGTCATTTTAGTGTTATATCTAACATTGCCATAAAAGTGCGAGGTTTGGCTAGCCACAAAACCAGGTTCAATCCACCATTTTTTTTCTTAAAATGTCCTGTACCAAGTCCAGAAAATGGCCATTGTTATATTATAGTTTGTTTCTGTGTGTGTTACATTTTAATGTTGTGTTTCTGTTGTGTCGTAGTTCTCCTCTTATATTTGATGTGTTTCCCTCAGTTTTAGTCTGTAACCCGGATTTGATTTTTTCTCAATCGATTTATGAATTTCAAACAGCGGTACACTACTGTTGTCTTTATTTTTAACAGATATATCCGAGTGACCGTTAGAAAAAGTGTAAGCATGAAGACAAAACAAGAAACTGAAAAATAGTTCAACTTATATAAGTGCATTGAGAAGTTTGATTAATTCTTTTTCGAAAAAACAAAGGAAAGTAAAGTGGTTGTGCACAACTTATATGCAAAAGCAATGTCGAATAAGAAAAAAAAAAAGCCAGTTTTTCTTGATTTCGTGTAAAGTCGCCGAAAAAAATTGAATGATATTATCAAGTTTGTAGAAACTTACCAACACTTTCATCAACAGGTTTTTCTAATGAGCATTAAACATACTATTTGAAGTTGTAGACAATAATCTGTAAACACGTTCGAGAAAATATAACAATATTTTTATGGATTGATTTGTTTTTGCAAACATCACTTAATAAAAAAAAAATATAATATAGTTTTGATGGAATATAAAATTATTTATTGCTTAAAGAATGTACAATTCTTAACCAGTTTGTATTTTAAAATAATTCCAGGAAAATCTTTTAAATCGTCAAATCTACTCGCAAAATGTGCGGAAAAAATGTCAAGCGACTTTTTTAACAGACATATCCGAGTGACCATTAGAAAAAATGTAAGCATGAAGATTAAAACAAGACACTGAAACAATAGTTTACCTAATATAATTGCATTAAGAAGTTTAATTTATTTTTGGTAGAAAATAACTAAGGAAAATTAAGTGGTCGTCCACAACTTACATGCAAAAGCTATGTCGAAAAGGAAAAAAAAAGTTTTTCTTGATTTGGTGTAGAGTCGCTGAAAAACTTTGAATGATATTATCAAATTTGTAGACACTTACCAACACTTTTATCAACAGGTTTTTTCTAATGAGCATTAAAAATACCATTTCAAGTTGCAGACAATAAACTGTAAACACGTACGATAAAATATAACAATATTGTTACCCATTGATCTATTTTTGCGAAAAAACAATTAATAAAAAAATATATTATATAGTTTTGTTAGATTATAAAGGTATTCATTGCTTAAACAATGAACAATTCTGTACCAGTTGTTTATTAATATTTCCAGGAAAATCTTTTTAAATATCCAATCTACTCGCAAAATGTATGAAAAAAATGTCAAGCGACTTTTTTTAGCAGATATATCAGAGTGACCGTTAGAAAAAGTGTAAACATGAAGATCAAAACACGAAACTGCAAAAATAGTTATCTAATATAATTGCATTTAGAAGTATGATTTATTTTTTTTCCAAAAAAAAAAAAAGGAAAATTAAGTGGTCATGCACAACTTACATGCAAAAGCAATGTCGAATAAGAATAAAAAACCCAGTATTTCTTGATTTCGAGTAAAGTCTCCGCGACAAATTTTGAATGATAATATCAAATATGCAGAAACTTACCATCACTTTTATCAACAGGTTTTTCTAATGAGCATTAAAAATACTATTTGAAGTTGCACATGATAAACTGTAAACACGTTCGAGAATATATAACAATAATCTTACGGATTGATCTTGCAAAAAAACAATTAATCCAAACATATAAAATATAGTTTTGTTAGATTATAAATTTATTTATTGCTTAAAGAATGTACAATTCTTTACGAGTTTTTTATTAATAATTTCAGGAAAATCTTTTAAATCGTCAAATCTATACGCAAAATATTTGGAAAAATTGTCAAGACTCTTTTTCAACAGATATATCCGAGTGACCGTTACAAAAAGTATAAAGATGAAGATAAAAAAAAAAAACGAAACAGCAAAAATAGTTTACTTAATATAATACCATTGAGAAGTATGATTTATTTTTTTTTCGAAAAAACAAAGGAAAATTAAGTGGTCACGCACAACTTACATGCAAAAGTAATGTCGAATAAGAAAAAAAGCCAGTTTTTCTTGATTTTGAGTAAAGTCTCCGCGACAAATTTTGAATGATATTATCAAATTTGTAGAAATTTACCAACACTTTTATCAACAGGTTTTTCTAATGATCATTACAAATACTTTTTGAAGTTGCAGACAATAAACTGTAAACACGTACGAGAAAATTTAACAATATTCCAACGGATTGATCTATTTTTGCAAAAATCACTAAATCAAAAAATATATATTTAGTAATATAGTTTTGTTAGATTATAAATTTATTTATTGCTTAAACAATGTACAACTCTTTACCAGTTTTTTATTGATAATTCCAGGAAAATCTTTTAAATCATCAAATCTACTCGTAAAATGTGTGGAAAATGGTCAATCGACTTTTTTAACAGATACTTCCGAGTGACCGTTAGAAAAAGTGTAAACATGAAGATCAAAACACGAAACTGCAAAAATAGGTTACCTAATATAGTTGCATTGAGAAGTATGATTTATTTTGTTTCGAAAAAAAAAAAGGAAAATTAAGTTGTCACGCACAACTTACATGCAAAAGCAATGTCGAATAAGAAAATAAAACACCGGTTTTTTCTTGATTTAGAGTAAAGTCTCCGACAAATTTTGAATGATATTATCAAATTTGTAGAAACTTACCAACACTTTTATCAACAGGTTTTTCTAATGAGCATTACAAATACTATTTGAAGTTGCAGACAATAAACTGTAAACACGTACGAGAAAATATAACAATATTCTTACGGATTGATATATTTTTGCAAAAAACACTAAATCAAAATATATATAATATAGTTTTGTTAGATTATAAATTTATTTATTGCTTAAACAATTTACAATTCTTTACCAGTTTTTTATTAATAATTCGAGGAAAATCTTTTAAAATGTCAAATCTACTCGCAAAATGTGTGGAAAAATTGTCAAGCGACTTTTTTAGCAGATATATCAGAGTGACCGTTAAAAAAAGTGTAAACATGAAGATCAAAACACGAAACTGTAAAAATAGTTTAACTAATATAGTTGCATTGAGAAGTATGATTTATTTTGTTTCGAAAAAAAAAAAGGAAAATTAAGTTGTCACGCACAACTTACATGCAAAAGCAATGTCGAATAAGAAAATAAAACACCGGTTTTTTCTTGATTTAGAGTAAAGTCTCCGACAAATTTTGAATGATATTATCAAATTTGTAGAAACTTACCAACACTTTTATCAACAGGTTTTTCTAATGAGCATTACAAATACTATTTGAAGTTGCAGACAATAAACTGTAAACACGTACGAGAAAATATAACAATATTCTTACGGATTGATATATTTTTGCAAAAAACACTAAATCAAAATATATATAATATAGTTTTGTTAGATTATAAATTTATTTATTGCTTAAACAATTTACAATTCTTTACCAGTTTTTTATTAATAATTCGAGGAAAATCTTTTAAAATGTCAAATCTACTCGCAAAATGTGTGGAAAAATTGTCAAGCGACTTTTTTAGCAGATATATCAGAGTGACCGTTAAAAAAAGTGTAAACATGAAGATCAAAACACGAAACTGCAAAAATAGTTTAACTAATATAGTTGCATTGAGAAATATGATTTATTTTGTTTCGAAAAAACAAAAGAAAATAAAGTGGTCTCGCAAAACTTACATGCAAAAGCAATGTCGAATAAGAAAAAAAAAAAAACGGTTTTTTCTTGATTTCGATTCAGGTCTCCGAAAAATTTTGAATGATGTTATCAAATTTGTAGAAACTTACCAATGTTTTTATCAACAGGTTTTTTTAATGAGCATTAAAAATACTATTTGAAGTTGCAGAGAATAAACTGTAAACACGTACGAGAAAATATATCAATATTCCTACGGATTGATCTATTTTTGCAAAAAACACTTAATCAAAAAATATATAATATAGTTTTTTAGATAATAAATTTATTGATGGCTTAAAGAATGTACAATTCTTTACAAGTTTTTTATTAATAATTCCCGGAAAATCTTTTAAATCGTCAAATCTACTCTGAAAATGTGTTTAAAAATTGTCCAGCGACTTACTTAGCAGATATATCAGAGTGACCTTCAGGAAAAGTGTAAACATGGAGATCAAAACACGAAACTGCAAAAATAGTTTACCTAATATAATTGCATTGAGAAGAATGATTTTATTTTTGGAAAAAACAAAGGAAAATTAAGTTGTCATGCACAACTTAAATGCAAAAGCAATGTCGAATAAGAAAAAGGACTTTGTTTTTCTTGATTTCGAGTAAAGTCTCCGACAAATTTTGAATGATATTATCAAATTTGTAGAAACGTACCAACACTTTTATCAACAGGTTTTTCTAATGAGTATTAAAACATTATTTGAAATTGTAGACAATAAACTGTAAACACGTACGAGAAAATATAACAATATTCTTACTTAATCAAAAAATATATAATATAGTTTTGTTAGATTATAAATTTATTTATTGCTTAAACAATGTACAATTCTTCATCAGTTTTTTTTATAAATAATTGCAGGAAAATCATTTAAAATGTCAAATCTACTCGCAAAATGTGTTAAAAAATTGTCAAGCGACTTTTTTAACAGATACATCCGAGTGACCGTTAGAAAAAGTGTAAACATGAAGATCAAAATACGAAACTGCAAAAATAGTTTACCTAATATAATCGCACTGTGAAGTATGATTTATTTTTTTTCGAAAAAACAAAGGAAAGTTAAGTGGTCACGCATAACTTACATGAAAAATCAATGTCGAATAAAAAAAAATTCTGTTTTTCTTGATTTCGAGTAAGGTGTCCGAAAAATTTTGAATGTTATTATCAAATTTGTAGAAACTTACCAACACTTTTATCAACAGGTTTTTCTAATGAGCATTAAAGATACTATTTGAAGTTGCAGACAATAAACTGTAAACACGTACGAGAAAATATAGCAATATTCTTTCGGATTGATCTATTTTTGCAAAAAAAAACACTTAATCAAAAAATATATACTTAGTAATATAGTTTTGTTAGATTATAAATTATTTATTGCTTAAACAATGTACAATTCTTAACCAGTTTTTTATTGATAATTCCAGGAAAATCTTTTAAATCATCAAATCTACTCGCAAAATGTGTGGAAAATGGTCAATCGACTTTTTTAACAGATACATCAGAGTGACCGTTAGAAAAAGTGTAAACATAAAGATCAAAACACGAAACTGCAAAAATAGGTTTCCTAATATAGTTGCATTGAGAAGTATGATTTATTTTGTTTCGAAAAAAAAAGGAAAATTAAGTTGTCACGCACAACTTACATGCAAAAGCAATGTCGAATAAGAAAAAAAAAGAACGGTTTTTTCTTGATTTCGAGTAAAGTCTCCGCGACAAATTTTGAATGATATTATCAAATTTGTAGAAACTTACCAACACTTTTATCAACATGTTTTTCTAATGAGCATTAAAGATACTATTTGAAGTTGCAGACAATAAACTGTAAACATGTACGAGAAAATATAGCAATATTCTTTCGGATTGATCTATTTTTGCAAAAAAACACTTAATCAAAAAATATATAATATAGTTTTGTTAGATTATAAATTTATTTATTGCTTAAACAATTTACAATTCTTCACCAGTTTTTTATTAATAATTCGAGGAAAATCTTTTAAAATGTCAAATCTACTCGCAAATGTGTGGAAAAATTGTCAAGCGACTTTTTTAGCAGATATATCAGAGTGACCGTTAAAAAAAGTGTAAACATGAAGATCAAAACACGAAACTGTAAAATTGTTTAACTTATATAGTTGCATTGAGAAATATGATTTATTTTGTTTCGAAAAAACAAAAGAAAATTAAGTGGTCTCGCAAAACACATGCAAAAGCAATGTCGAATAAGAAAAAAAAATTCTGTTTTTCTTGATTTCGATTAAGGTCTCCGAAAAATTTTGAATGATGTTATCAAATTTGTAGAAACTTACCAACGTTTTTATCAATAGGTTTTTTTTAATGAGCATTAAAAATACTATTTGAAGTTGCAGAGAATAAACTGTAAACACGTACGAGAAAATATAACAATATTCCTACGGATTGATCTATTTTTGCAAAAAACACTTAATCAAAAAATATATAATATAGTTTTGTTAGATAATAAATTTATTGATGAACAATTAAACATGAAGATCAAAACACGAAATTACAAAAATAGTTTACCTAATATAGTTGCATTGAGAAGTATGATTTATTATGTTTCGAAAAAAACAAAGGAAAGTTAAGTGGTCACGCATAACTTACATGAAAAATCAATGTCGAATAAAAAAAAAATTCTGTTTTTCTTGATTTCGAGTAAGGTCTCCGAAAAATTTTGAATGATATTATCAAATTTGTAGAAACTTACCAACACTTTTATCAACAGGTTTTTCTAATGAGCATTTAGAGCCAATCCGCCAGAAAACCATGCAATATTCAGAAAATCGTCCAAATCGACAATCACTTGACAAATTTTTATACATCATCTTAATCCTTGACATAAGATAAAAGAATTTGACCACTTAATTCAATCCAATTTTTTTATGCCTTTTATGAATGACCCAGAAGCATATTAAATGGGATAGTTGAGTTTTTTAGAGTAATGTCAGCTGAAACTCATCCATTTTACTATGTTATGATCAATACAAATGAAAATTTAAACGATTTGGCACATTGCCAGGAGCAGGGACACAAAGGCGGGGTTTATCATACATGAATTTACGTGGTTTTCATTCGCTTCTATCTTGCAAGACCCATTCCGGATTTGTTTGCAACTTATATTGGTTTTAAATATGGCGTATGTTTTATATCAAAACAAAATATTAAGCTTGGCAAATGACTATTATATGTTAATTTATGCCTTGGAAGAATGGTGATTTTAGTCCCAAATTGACACATTTTGATTTTGATTTTAATTAAATTCTAAACACAATTGGTACTAAAATGGCTCATAAAATCATTCGAACAAGTAAAATCAATTTGTCTGAAAAATGAAATAAGACGTATTTGTACTGCAAGTCCAAAAATCAATAAATTGTCTGAAACCAGGGAGTCCATCTTTTATGCTCTTCCATCGCTTATCTCCCTTGGGTAAGATCTCAAACATGTCAGCTCCCAGTGATGGTTTGGCAGACAAATGTTTACAGTGAAGTTTGTGACTTTAATAATCTACGATGAGCATGTGGGCTATCCCAGCCTTATACATCTACATTCTACAAACTATTTAAGATATCTGATTGCACTAAAGACCAAAATAGCATTTCCAAAAAAAATAATTACTGCCAAGAAATTTGACAATCATGACAATAATTTAGTGCATAAACATGATAAATATTGATTGGAAAAATAAGTCCATGAACAGCAAAAAGTGTTTTTAGATTTCAACGAGCAAAACAAAAGTATTCTAAATCATTCTTTGTAAAAAAAAAAGTGAACGAGTGGAACCTGTCTGTGACCTTGCTCGCACCAGAATTGAGATTGAGAGTGTCAAAACTGCTCTGGCGCACCATCAATAAATCAACGACACTCTCTCTACCGTGGTTTTGAAACCAGCATTGGTAACTAAACATATTCATACAGATACAGACTACCATTCATCTACATTTAGGAAGTCTGAATAATACTGAAAACTATGGTGTAGAATTTCCAACAGGACTC